AAAAAAAAAAAAAAAAAAAAATACACTGCTGCGACTGGGCCGAAATGAGAGAAGCTTAATAATGCGAGTCGCGCCACGCTGAGTCTCTCCTAATAATCGAGACTCACTCGGCCGATTCGAACCGTCGTACGATTCGACAGAAGTGAGGTTTGCAGGCGTTTTCAGAACGGGGAAATATAATCGATGATTAAACTTGTAAATCAGAAAATTAGAGACGGGTGAAAACACGCAGGTATATATATATATATATATACACCTGCGAGAGAGATGGATCGCGCAGTTCCACAACTTCCCTCCGTGAGCTCTTTTGCCAGAATTAAACTGATATCGTTAGTGAAACTTTGCACTTGTCAGAAGTTGCAAGACGCCAGTGTTAATTATTTCTTTCGCGTAATTGCAACAAGTTTTATAATAAAATGGAAAGTTCTGCAAGGGTTCATCTCGCAAATTACAAGTTACATGACTGATTATCCGCTGGAAAATGTAAAGGCTGAATGTTCCACGACCCGCAGGCCTGACAACCTGCGATTCGTCGCTTCGCGGATTCGTGATATTTTAATGTCAAACATTTTTACGACCGGAAGCACGAAATGGAGTCACTCGCGTGATCACACACCGAAACGCGTGCGGCAAATTGAATTAAACCGACGTTATTTACAACGCGCCGGGGCGAATGGTTGCAGATTTACGCTGCCGGCTCGATAAAAATTATGGTAACGGCCGCAGCTCTCCTTCTCGCAGTTGGCACGGGGCGAAAGCTGTCGGCGAAACCGAACCAGTTAGCTCGGCGACAGGGATGAGAAAATAGCTAGAGAGAAGGGCAGCGAGAGAGACTTCTCCTTCCTTCCTTTCTTTCTTCCTTTCTTTCTCTTTCCCACGCCGTGCCTTTCGCGCCGTTCAATTCCCTTCTGCACATTTTCCTGCATTCCCGTGCGCAAACCTAGCGAGTGGTCATTCGATATACGTGCCACTCGGAAATGTCGATAGCGAATTTCTCCGTGGAAAGTCGGCGGGACCGGGAGGGGGTGAACCAGAGGATAAGTGCGAGCATGAAGGCCTTCCTTTCCTACGTGAACGAGGAACGAGGCAGAGGAGGAAGAGGAGAATGAGGCGGAGGTGTAGGGAAAAAGAAACAGAAAGATGTGGAGTAAGAGAAAAAGGGGCGGGCAGGCAGGCAAGCAGGCAAGTGGGAGGAACGGGAGGAAGATAACAGGAGCGGGAGAAGCAAGGGAGAACAAAGGGTGCTTATCGACACCGCAGTTCTTATCCCTAGTAACTCCTTTTATTTTATCCGTTTCTGTTCCCCGAGCTACGGCGGCTAAAGCCTCGAACTCGTACCTTGTATCTGAAAGATAATCAGACTCTGCCAGTCGTACTCGAATGCAGACGGCTATTTTCGACCGCGCCCCTTGTCCTTCTCAGTGTCGTCCTCTCGTTCGTCGCCAGGCGAACGGAAATATCATTGTGTAACGAAAACAATCGGATGTGAAAGAACGGGGAGAATTAGAAGTATCGAAGATAGAAAATTAATCGGAAAGAGAGGAAACTAGTCAGAGGATATTGATATTTCGCGTTCATTCGCCTCTCGGCGTTCGAGTTAATTCCGCTCGCGTGAAACGCCATTCGGGCTACTGTTATCCGGCGAGAAACATAGAATTAATATTCTCTTTCACGGGGACTTACTGAGTTTCGATGACGTAGTACAGGATCGGGTTGTTGTGAGAATTACGACTCGCCACCCAGGACAGACGCACGGACCTCGACGTGAAGTTCGATATCAGAGGACGGTCCGGTGGATCAGGCACATCTGAAAGCAAATTTCCAAGTCTCGGTAAAGATTTGAACGGCTCTGAGGTTTTTTTTTCTGCTTTGCATAACTTACCAAGTTCTATCTACGATAATATTATTTCCAAGCGCATTGGAATTTGTAACGTGATATTTATGGATCGATGACGGTTTTAAACAGGCAGAAATGTTGAAAAAATCTACATATTTAAATGAAAATAAAGTATCATGCGGATTAAATTTTCCTTAATTAAACTCGCTATATTTTTTTAATTTCACTTATGCATTAGGATATTTTTTTATCTCTTCTTTTTCGTTTCATTTTTTATTATCGTATCTCAAAGCGATTTTTCGAATTAATAAATAAATAAATATAGACAAGTTTCCTTACGTACATAGTCATTACATACAGATATAACATTTAATACAAAATACAAACACTTTCGGAAAGAATTTCGAAAGTTATATACACTCCAGCTCCCGTATATAATATATATATATATATATATATATATATATATATTTTTTTTATAATGCAATATAATGCAATATATTAATATATCAACAGAGTCTTTATTGTATAAATTTATCGTATTTAATTATATGGCATGTATTTATTACAAATACAAAAATTTACATCGTATATTGCATATTACGTACATAGTTCACACTTTTATATTGTTAATACCACGTTTATCGTATATAATTTGTAATTCATATTTATTGTATCACTTTTTATTATACAAACATAGTCTCAAGATTTCCAAGCAAAAAATCTGCCAAATTATTCATGAAAAATTTGATACAAAATACAAGTAATTCTTTCTGGAGAAGAATTTCAGAAAATACACAACTGTTAGACACCATTCGGATTCGGGGGATGATTTTCTCGAAAGTAGAATTGAGTTGATCTCTGCCTTTTAACTCGTTGGCCATTTTATCGCGGACAAGATTTTGAAGAAGCCATGGCCTGAAACACCGATCACGCCCGTAGCCAGCGTCGGATAAGAGCCGACCGTTTAATATGCGTCGCCATGCGAGCCGCAGAGATATAACATTGCGCGCACGTTGCATAAGATCATAAATGAGAACGGGAACGCGCATCCCCATCTCGCGATGGAGTCGTCATCCTCCCCTCGCCATCCTGACCTCGCTCGTTCGTGCGTTCTAACGTTTTACAGCCCGAGACGAGAAGCTGGTCGCAGTTAGCTTTCAGCAATTAATCGTCCATTGTAAACGACGTAACTTGCTACGACGAAACATATTCAGTCTCACCCTCCCTTGTTTCCGCGCGTTGTATCCAACGACTTTATCGAGCGACTGCCGACTTTGTCCTTTGATTAATCTAGACTACGTTGGTTACGATAGACCTCTTTGTTGCGACACCTTTACTCGCGGATTGACGCGCGAAAGTTTTTATCGATGGATTGCGAGAGAGAAGCCTGTTGTTCAATTTGTGTATGAATTTAAACTGCAGTATGCAACTTCAATTCGTTGGATCGAAATGTTTTCATTTGTAGACTACTGGTGAGCATGAGCCCCAGTCACGCGAGCTGAAACTTTGAAAAAGCGGTTCTGTATCTGTCTGAAAATAATCTCAACGCCCTAATGCACCGATAATTAGTCAACCAGTCGAGATAAACGACGAAGTTTATATCGAGAAACCTTTAACATCCTCCCCCCCTCTCTCTTTTTTATTTTTAATCCGATCGACGAACAATTAGGTCGATTCGAGTGCCTCGAAAAACCACGGTGTTAATTTCGCGGTCTTGCATCGAGGCGGTCGCTTCGAATATTCATCCCCTCGTTAATAATTCACATCACTCGATAACAAGTACAGGGTCTGATATTTCTTTGGTGGTGGCACGCGTCACCAAGAGGAGGATCGAAAATAAACCGTATTGTCGCGGCTTAACGAACTCAATCTCTCTCTCTTTCTCTCTCTCGTTGGTGGCGCACGGGGAAAAATAATCGCCGGTCACCGGGGCTCGAAAAAACGATGCGGGCTTGTTTGCGCGGTCTTATCGAACGGGCATGGAAACGCGAACGGGGCGTGGATCGAATCCCTCTCGGACTTATGGTCGGGCCTCTCGAACCCTGTCGGATCCTCCAACGCCCGCTTTTGTCCGCACTGGTTAACAAAATAAACTCGGACGACTCGTTTGAGACAAACCTTCTTTTTCAAGGCCGAAACAAGTTATCGGAATGCATAACCTCGTCTTGAAAAATTAAGAGACATACTGTGAAAGAAATTGACTGTAATCCAATAATAATTTCATTAATTTTTGTAGTTTAATTCTCTCTAAATTTTTTCGAGTGTGTGAAGGTAGTAGGTATGTTTTTGTAATTCTTGCGAACGATTTTTACTTTGCGTCTTGAAAAATTAAGAGGCATACTGTGAAAGAAATTGACTGTAATCCAATAATAATTTCATTAATTTTTGTAGTTTAATTCTCCTTAAACTTTTTCGAGTGTGTGAAGATAGTAAGTATGTTTTTGTAATTCTTGAGAACA